CCCCAAAGGAGATGCTTCTAATGCTTCACTATTAATTGTGAGGTTTGCTCTGTGTTGTAGGTAGATACACAAAACACCAATATTGAAGTTCTGGTTGAAGAAGGAGAAATAAATATACAAAAAATTCATCCTTGGGGCACCTGGGTGGCTCAGTCAGTTAAGCGTCTGCCTTCGGCTCATGTCATGATCCTGGGGTCTGGGGATTGAACCCCACATTGGGCTCCCAGCTCAGTGGGGAGCCTACTTCTCCCTCTCCCTGCTCCCCCTGCTTGTGCTCTCTCTCTGTCAAATAAATAAATAAAACCTTTAAAAAAATTCATTCTAAGCCATAAATTATAGATATTAACTTTTATTATTTAGATTATGGAGAATTCAATATAAAACTTACAGGAAGATTAAATATTTGGAAACAGCCCCAATATCTAAGGAAAAAACCTCACAAAGAACCCTAACTATAAAATATCAAACAAGTATTAATTCAAGCTGATTAATTCCTGAGATCTACAAGAAATTCTAGTGAAGATCACAAAAAGGAATCATGGAGAAAATACTGAGAATTGTGTAGGATTTATTTCAGAGCATTTTATAACTGTTTTGGAGGTGTTTTATGATCCAGGATTTCTTAGGGCAGGAGAAGTTGAAAATAACTGGGGACAGCTTAGAAACTTGTCCTGAGAGGGAGGTAGTATGGCTTTTGAATCTCTCTGTATTTTTGTTGGTACTTTTTTTTTTTCTTGCATTTTTACAGAGGCCTTGGTCATTTGTAAAGTAGTTAAGTGATCATCACCTAGCCTTTTTCCTACTTGGCTCATTTTCTGCCCCTTATTTTAGGTACCAACTGTTCTATCTTTTGGTATTCTCTGACTTCTCAAAGTCATCTTCCTGGTTTCTTATTTAGGCCTGTGTTTCACCCCTTTAATTTAGCACTTCCCAAATTGCTGAAATTCTGAGAAAGAGGGGTTCCGTGGTCAAATGAGTCTGGGAAATACAGTGTTAAGCCAAACCTAATAGCTTACTTTACTGCAGGACTTCTAGAACCTTCAGTATTCTAATGTGCATTGTGAATCTCCAAAAGGGAAATATAGCTTGTAGTGTTTCCCCAATTAATTGATCATTGAACTTCTTCCAAAGAACACCTAATAACATCTCATATAACCCAGTTCATTACTCTTCAAATAAAAACTTCAAGTTCTTGTAAACTTTTCCTTAGTGGAAGACATGTTATATGCTCTCTCACTACTAGGTTGTGAATTCTTTGAGGACAATTTCTTTTTCTTGAAGTATTTTCTGATCTCATTATACATTGAAACTCTGGCATTCTTCCTCTCTTCTAGTTCCTGGGATGGGCACAATGGATACCACTCAAGAGTTCATGTATGGCACAATCTTGCTAAATAATCCAATTTAGCTTTTGGGATCCTTGTACTACACCTCAGTTCGACTACTTTTGATGCTTTATTGAAGCCTCTGAGCTGGGCATTGCTGGTGCTAAAAAGATGAGTAAGATCTAGTTACACCTCACTGGAGAACATGTAGAGGAAATAAGCATATGACACAAAACACAAGTTAAATGCTAAACAAGAGGTACAAACTACGTTGGGGTTCAATGGAGAAACAATAACAACTGGGTGGCTAGGGAAGGGAGACACATGGGAAGAATCAGAAAAGATTTCTTGGAGGATGTATCATGTGGGATGGGCCTTAAATTTTTAAAAAATACAGACAGGGTATAGAAGAGTGGCATTACAGGTGGGGATGTATAGCATATGCAAACAGGAAGGTAGGGAAGAGGGGCAAGTTCAAGTGGCTCTGTCTGGCAGGATGTGCACAGGATAAGTTGTAGATGGGATATGATCAGAGCATGGATAATAAAAATAGAAAGAATACTTTGGGTGCCAATGTGAGTTATGTTAATGCTGCTGTCCTCACGGAGCCATTGAAGAATTTTTGAGTGGGAGGGTGATGTGAGGACCACTTGCTCCTCTCCCATCCTTTGTGGTGTCTCCAAGCTCCAGTGTCTTCGCCTCTGTCCAGCTCAGCAACATATAGAAACTTCAGCCGATGAATTAAACTTCAGTCTCCTGACTTGCATATTGGGTACCTCCTCTTGCAGAGCTGTCCAGAGTACAACAGAAACCGTGGCAGCACACTCTAGTAAATGCATACCCCCTCTTTGTAGAATACTGTCAGAAGCCAGCATGTTGAGGAGAGAGTGTTCAGATGAAGAATAGAGATAAGAGGCCATCAGTAGATTTAATGATAATACTTTGTGGAGTTATGATTTCAGTGTCTTAAAGAGGAATCTGATAAGAAAAAAAAAAGGGTGCAGATAGTAAATTTTAAGTAGCGAGCCACGAGAATGGATGTAGCTAGTGAGCCTGGAAAATTGACTGTATCTAGTCACTCGTTCCAGGCAGCCCAGGACTAAAATTGGGGGGGGGGGGGAGCGGGCCGGCAGTGAAGAGTGAAACCCAAACAGCTGGAGGGTTGGTTTGAGGTCACCCACCTGGTGTAATGTTCAAAGGCCTATCCCTCCTGCTGTAATGTTGAAAGGCCCGGACCCTCCTGGCTCTTCAGATAGGCCTGGAGAAACGGTGTGTGTTTAATGGCCTCAATGTTTTCTGTGACGTGGACTTTGAGGTCATCAGGGCAGTGGGGTGGGGGGAGGGCAGTACCCTTTATGGGAGAGCTTGGAGGTCTGAGAAAGCTGGCGCCTGCTGGGGAATCAATACAGGAAGCAGAGCAAAGCTTTGGTGTTTTGCAGTGGTCGGGGCAGGGCTCTCTAGAACCTGTGGGCATGCCGCAGGGCTCCACCGGCTCCAAGGACGCCTGAGGATGGGCCCCCCGTAGCCCCCGCGGCCGCGGGCGTTAGTGCGCCCCGCTTCCTCGCACCGCAGGGCCTGCCCCGCACCGGCGAGCAGGGTGGAGCCGCGGCGCTCGGCCCGGTGGCTGCGGGATCTCGTCTCGCTCTTCCGCTTGCAGGTGCGCCCGGGGAAGGCGGGACGCGCAGGAGGGGGCGCCCGCCATGCTCGGCCCGCAGCTCCGCGTCGCGGCCTCCAGCCCGCCGCCCCCGCGAAACGGCCATCCGCAGCCCCTGTGAGGAGGAAGAAGAGGCGGCGGCGCACAAGGCGCCGCCCCCTTGGCGAGCCTCGCGACCTGGCGGCCTCCGCAGGACCCATGGCGGATTCCTCGCCCGCGCCCTCCCTGCGGGAAGGCGGCCCGCGAGCGCCCCGGCCCTCGGCCCCCTCGCCGCCGCCGCGCTCGCGCTCGCGCTCGGGCTCCGAGTCCGAGGAGGCCGAGCTGTCACTGAGCCTGGCCCGCACCAAGACCCGCTCGTACGGCAGCACGGCCAGCGTGCGGGCGCCGCTGGGCGCCGGCGTCATCGAGCGCCATGTGGAGCACCGGGTCCGCGCCGGCGATACGCTGCAGGGCATCGCGCTCAAGTACGGAGTCACGGTGAGCAGGGCGCGCCGCGGCGGCGAGGGCCGGCGGCACGGGAGGGGCTCGGGCGGGGTCCGGAGCCCCGGGGGTCGCGCGGGCGGCCGTCTGGCCCCCGGCGCCCGCCTGGCGCGCGCTGAGGGCCGCGGCAGTGGTCGCCCAAGGTGGTGCTGTAGCCAGAGGGGCAGGCCGCCGAGGCTCCCTCCCCAGGTAAGTGCATCGAGTTCCCGGTGTCCTGCCCGGACTCGGCCCAGATCCGTGAGCAAGGCCAGAGAGCCCCAGGGAGCCACGTTCACCCGATGTTCAGTCCGGATCACACTACCGTAGTGCATATTTACTCAAAGCCCAGCTGAGGTGTGGACTCAGGCAGAGAATTTTGTTTTCTCTGTAAACAAGCGCTGTGATGAGTCAGCGATGGTACATTTGTTTCCGCAGGGTGGTTCTGGTTTTTATCGATTATGCTGCTTTATTTAGAAGTGAAATTACACCCCTGGGCTCACTGGCAACTGTGAATGTGACACCTGTCGCTAAGCTGCAGCCCAGAACTGGGGTCTAGGTGAGCTGGAGAGCTGTGTTTATTATAAATTTATGTGTGTTTGTCCTAAGTATATTGCATTACACCTCTGGGAAGAACATGGAAACCTGAGGGAGCATATTGTCTCATTAAAATTACTTATAATTAACTCTGAGCCATGTGATGGCCTTTTTGCATTTGAGTTCTGTATTAGTTTTCAGTGTTCTTACCTGAAACACCTTAGACACGAATGGGAAGAAAGGCGATCTTATCTGTATCTTTCTCTTGAAGTGAAACTTTCTGGCCCTTCACAGAATGATAGAGACTATTTTGCACCTTCTAGCTGATACTCTATGTTTACCTAGCAGGTCATTTAAACATTGTGAGACCAGGGATCTTGCTGTGCAGACATATATAGATAGTATCATGCCATGGATAGTCCCTTTCCCTCTGCCTGGGAGTTTCTAAATGTGAACATAGAACTGCAGTTCTTATGCACATCAATAGGGCCTGGTTTTGGGTGGGGGCCAGAGGAAAGCAGAGTTGGGGAATATCGTAGCTACCTTCTGCTGAATGCCTGCTGCGTGCCAGGCATTACGTTTGTCCTGTTCCATCTTGTTTTTATTCAATTTGATTTTCCTAATGAGCCTTGGAGGTAGGTGTAATTAACCTTTTTACAGATGGGAAGACGGATGAGAGGTAAGGATATTATCTAAGTATGTTTATTCATTGAGAGCAGCTTGAATTAGCACAGTGATAAAGCATTTGCTTTTATCTAGATTCTACTTCTGATTTCCATCCTTATTTCTATCCTAGTCTTATCAAGAGCTCTCTTAGCATCTTGGTTACTGAAGAAGGAAGGTCTCTTCTGTATGGTTTCTATATGTCCTACCTCCTGGGCCAGGGTGACTATACCAGGAATCCATGATATCTAGAGAAGTGTTATTTCCCTGGTTCCTACCCACAGCAGTCTTTAGAGCCCAGTGCCCTCCATGGCTGCACTTGAGTGGCTTAGGGCTCCTAAACATCTGCTCACAGCAGTTCTCTACCTTTATCAAATACTTTCTAATCTATGTTTTTGCTTACTATAGATCCTGTTACTCATAACCTTATCACCCCTTTTGGTTAAAGTGTAAACCAGATTTTTCACTACTTTCATAAAGACTTGATTTTAAAATGTTAAGCTCAAGTATAACGAATGGGGAACTATAGTGTGATAGCCACAAAGAGTCTCAACTACAGCACTATTGATATTATGGACCCTATAATTCTTTGGGGTTGTTGCTAGGGTTGTGCTGTGCATTGTAGGATGTTTAATAGCATCTCCGCCCTCTGCCTGTTAGATGCCAGGAAGGCCCCCAACCCCCACCCCCATCCAGACATTGCCAAATGTTCCCTAGGAAGAAACTCACTCTTCATTGAGAACCACTGGTTTATTACATGTGTATCATTTACTTTAGGCCCTGAACTATAGTTGATGAAATATTTAGATTCCGTAGAACCAGTGAAAGTGATAATTCTTACTGTAACAGTGAAGTGATATTATTGCTTTAATAGGCAAATATTAATTGGATTTACTCATTGTAAATTGAGATTTTAGGTGGAAGCTAAAAAGGCAGAAAAGTTTTTTTCTTTCCCTGACTGAACGGAAAGAAGTTGAATTAGTTAAGTTTCTAATATTGACTACCAAGATCATAAGCATATTTAAATTATTGTTTAAAGGAGTTGGTGATGATATGTTGGAGATTTAGAGACCCAAGGCAGTGCACCTGGAAGTTAAGACTCAGTCCAGGCAAACATTTGAATTTAACATCCCACGTCTGGCAAGAGCCGAGCATGGCTCTGCTGTCTTACTTAGAGGAGCAGGAATTCTCAGAGAAGCCTGTCTTCTGATGACAGCTCTCCAGCCCCCCAGCTGGTCGTCCAGGCAGGACTCCAGTCCCTCAGCACGGAGAGACTGGTAAGAGCCAGTAGTATTTTAGGTAGAGGGATGTTCCCAGAACAAAGACTCTGACAAGGTGTGACAGTGGAGGTCTGGTTTTCCATCCTGGGTTTCTGGGGGAACAAATTGGAAACTGGTTATCTGAAGTGGTGCTCAATGGCTAGCAGCAGGGTACATCCCAAGATGTGGGGGGAGAGAGGTGTTCCTCCAACTTGCCTGGCTAGGAGAATGCCCTGGGGCAAACTAAAAATAAAGAATCCTAACTGACCTTGAGCCTACTGAATCAGAATATTCAGAAAAGGAGCCCAGGAATCTTCATGTTTTACAAGCATGGCCTGTTTCTTGTTCCCAAAGCACTGTCCTTCCTGGGGTCTTAGCACTTGCTGTTCCATCCATATGGAACACTCTTTCCCTGATAGCTGCATGGAAGGTTCACTTCATGGGTGTATGACCTGTGCAGTCACACAGGGCCCCGTGCTTAGAAGAGCCCTGCACTGCAATTGATGCCAACCTGAAAAAAGAATTGTTTAAAGATTTTATTTATTCGTTTGAGAGAGAAAACACGAACAGAGGGGAGAGGCAGAGAGAGAAGGAGAAGCAGACACCCCGCTGAGCAGGGAGCCTGATGCAGGTCTCGATACCGAGGACCTGGAGATCACGACCTGAGCCGAAGGCAGCTGCTTAACCATCTGAGCCACCCAGGGGCCCTGCCATTTTGAAATTTTTAATACTTCGTGAACAAGGGCCCCACGTTTGCACTTTTCACCGGGCCCTGCAAATTATGTGGCTGACCTTGGCTATGTGACTTGCTCCCTCACTGACTTCAAGTTCTTGCTTACATGTCTCCTCCATGAGGCCTTCCTGACTGTGCTCTGTCAAATTACAGCCCTCCTCCTTTCCCCCTTCCCCTTGCCTGCCTTGTTTTCCCAACAGTGTTTATTGTTCATCTCATTTTCCTTTTTTTTTTTTTTCCAGCTTCTATCTTTTTGGTGATACGTTAGTGAATAAATAGAAATCTGTGCCCTCATGGAGCTTATAATTTAGTCAGTGGAGACAGAAAGCAAACAAAAGAAATATGTTATATGTCAGGGATTGACAAGCAAAATGAAAGAAAATTAAGCAGGGAGAGGAGAGAACGAGGGCTAGTGGAGGTGGCTGTAATTTAAAATGATGTGACCACAAAGACCTCACAGAGAAGGAGGCAAAGGGGGTGGGTGGGGGGCATGCAGATATCTGTGAAGAACATTCCAGGCAGCAGGAACAGTGAGTGATGCAAAGGCCCTGAGGTGGGAACATAATTGGCAAGTTCCAGGAATAGTGTACCTGGCACTTAGAATGCAATAGGGTGGGGCGCCTGGGTGGCTCAGTTGGTTAAGCGACTGCCTTCGGCTCAGGTCATGATCCCGGAGTCCCAGGATCGAGTCCCGCATCGGGCTCCCTGCTCAGCGAGGAGCCTGCTTCTCCCTCTGACCTTCCCCCACTCATGTACTCTCTCTCTCTCATTCTCGCTCTCTCAAAATAAATAAATAAATCTTTAAAAAAAAAAAAAGAAAGAATGCAATAGGGTGTATTTGGACCACATCATTTCGGGTCTTGAAAGCCGTTGTAAGAACTTTGGTTCTTTCTCTGAGTGAGCTGGAACGTGTTGGAGGAATTTGAACAGAAGAATGGCGTGATCTGATTTGGATCCCTCTGGCTGCGGCTTTGAGCACACACTGTAGCGGGGCGAGTGCCAAGGCAGCGAGACCAGAAGGATGAAGGCTTTGTAATAATGCAGGTAAGAAGATGGCAGCTTGGAACAAAGCAGCGGAGAAGGAAGTGGTGGGAAGCTGTTGGAGTCTAGATGATTTGTTGATGCGCTATATATTTTCTGCTTATTTGTTTACTGTTTCATTTGAGTATCTCTGCCTGAGAGATGGGCCCAGGGATCCAGGAGGCTTCTCTATAGGAAAGAAGAATGAGGATGTTGGAGAACCTGGCCAGGCCTGACGCCTGATGGATGCCAGTTCTTCTGCCAGTGCCTTAGAAAATATCTGAAGGACCCTTCCCACATCACTTTTAAAGTCATTATTAGTTATTAATAACTGGCATTTATTATTATTTTTTTACCTGTTTTTATTGAGCCTGGTTTGAGTCCTTGTGCTATATGCTACAGGATGATACATGTTTTCCTCTTATTATTCATGGTGAGTTTGTCTACTACTGCTTTCCACTAGCCTGTAGCTACTGGAGAAGCCAGGTTTCTTGTCTCACTCATCTCTGTACATTCTGTGCCTAGCCTGGGTCTGGCACATGGCAGGCCCTCCACGTATGTATGGACCTAATCCACAGGCCTGCCTGGAGTGAAATCACTGGGCCCTGGAGTTGAGCAGACCCTGAAAGACAAAGCCCAGGGTAGGGGCTGAGTGACTGGAATTGCAAAGTGTAATTTAAGGCTGGCTCTCCAGCCTAAGGAAAGATTGGTGCTGGTTTGCTCCCCTTCTACCAGCAGGGAGTCTTGACATTGAATTAAACATAGGTTTACATTTGAGCATCTCTACCAAAGCAGCATTTGAGGAAGTGGCCTGGGAAACTGAAACTATTTGGGCTGAGTTGAGAAACTATTAAATACCGTGTCGATCTCAGACACGAATTTGCTTGCGCTGGAATTTCCCTGACTGTGCCTGTCTCTTCTGAGACATTTAGGTCCTTTCCCTAACCCAGTGTTCTAGATTTAGCTATGGCCTTTGTGGTGATCCTAGCTCCTCTCAGTTGGATGCAAGCTTCAGGAGGAAACTCACCGGCTCCAGGCAGCCACTGTGAACTTTTTGTTTGGAAACCCTGGAAAAACATCCAGAAAACAGTATACAAACTAAAAGTGAGCAGGAGGCAGTGAGGAGACCTATTATTTGCATAAACTTTCTCATTGTCTCTTTGCTTCCTCCTGGTAGCTTGCCTGCCCTCTCGCCTCTCCAGAGGCCACGTTGCTTCCAGTGCCCTCAATCACTTCCTGTCCGGTTTTATTCCCAGGGTCTTCTCACTTTCTTCCAGTGAGCTGTTAAACCTAGTTGCTTAACATTTCCTGGAACAGAAGTCACCTTGCTGAGAAAAGGTGAAATAATTGTCATTTTAGGGACAACAAGGGTTGTGAATTAGAAATGTAAGTATATGTAAATCTTTTGTGTTCATAACTTCAGGCCCTGCTGCTGGTAGAAATTGTTGATCCTTGCTGATCAAAGGCAAGAGAACTATAAATAAATAATGCAACATGTAGCGAGAAGTATGGTAAAATAGCCTTTAGTAGCTTGGGGTTTAATAGATTCTCATATATTCTTTTTATTTATTTTTTGGGGGGGAGGGGCAGAGGAAGAATCCTCATGTATTCTTTTTTAAAAAAAGTTTCATTGAGGGGCGCCTGGGTGGCTCAGTCAGTTAAGCATCTGCCTTCGACTCAGGTCATGGAGAAAAGGATCGTAATATCTTCTAAGAGTTCTAATTTACTGTTCTCTGCTTTATGTGTTTCTAACACAACCCAGGTCAGCATTGGGACCGTGCCAGAAAACTGCAATTTTCAAAGCCTGTAACAAATCAAATCCTTGTGCTATCCAAAACTTGAAGCAGCTGTAGTTATTCTCTGTATGATTTCAGCTCAAGTCATAATCTTGGGGTCCTGGGATTGAGCCCCGAGTCAGGCTCTGAGCTCAGCGAGGAGTCTGCTTGGAATTCTCTCTCCCTCTGCCCCTCCCCACTCTCATGTGTGCACCTCTTCCCCCCGCCCCCCGCTCTCTAAAATAAATAAATAAATAAATAAAATCTTTAAAAATAAATAAATAAAATAAAATCCAGTTTTTTACCTTGGCATCCAAGGCCCAATGTGGCCTAGAGTTTTGCTCATTACTCCCTATACTTCAGCCACACTGTTTTTTTCCTGTGCTGGGGTCTTGCAACTGCTCTTTCTCACTAGAATGCTGCTTCCCCTCCGCCCCTCCCCCCCCCCGCGCCGGCTTTTTGCTTGGCTAGTTTATTCCTTAACTTTATTATGAGTCCAGAGTTTGCAACCTGTTCAGTTGGTTCAAGCCAGCACTCGTAAAGGAAAACAAGTTAAGATCAAATTTATCACCTTTGGGGGGAAAAAGAAAACATAGAGCTTGCACACCTCAGGGCAGTGACAACATATAATGTTAATTATCTGGGGTTGGTTTCATGAAATTTGTTTTATATATTCTTACTTTGTAGGAGAAATATTTTTTATTGTGAGAAATTCCTGCTTCCTTCTCATTTGCTGAATAAATACATATTAGAATCTGCCTTTACTTGTTACTTTCTCACTTTTAACCAGTAATAATAAGATAGCAACTATTATCATTATCTTTTTTGAGGGCTTCCTGGGGGCTATGCATTATCCTAAATACTTAACAAAGCCAGGATTTGAACCCAGAAAGTATGGCCCCAGAGCCCCTGTTTCTAACTACTACCTTGTATTAGGCTCATTTCATCTTCAGACTCAAATCTGCCAGTCCTTAGATTGGTCCCCACCTTGATGCTAACTATGTCTGGATATCCCCGATGTCCCTGATGCTGTATCCCGTCTAGACTATAGGGTGAATGTACACCTTAAATGCTTGCTGATGATACTGAGATGGAGACAGCATAGTCTCTGACTTAAGGAAGCTCATAGGCTAAAGAGGCAATTCTATGGGTGAATCAATGGGATGATATACAAGAACTAAGGGAACCCTGCCCTCATTCCCTGTGCTCCTTGACTATACCCAGCTGTTGACTCAGTTACCTTGTCTTGTGGTCCCCGTCATTGGCCCTTCGCCTAGCTGTGATGGGCTGTCTTGTTTTGAATGATAGATGTATGGGTCAAGGTTCTGACAGGAAACAGATAGTGGGCGTGGGGGTGTGTGGCCAAAGAGAATTTAGTGAAAGAACATTTACAGAAGTATGAGCAGGGCTGGGGGAACCACCAAGGGATGGTGAAGCACCTGAGACTAGCAACAGCAGGGAGACATTACCCCAAGGCTTGAAGGGCAAGGGGAAGAAGTGGCGTACCCCACACGAGGAAGGCTGGAGCCGTGGATGAGGGAGCGGTTACCTGGCAGGAACTCTGCCATAGAGGAGTGCAGCCACTGGAGACATGGTGCTGTATCTTTCTGCTCATGACTTCCTTTGGAACACCCACTGGCAGTCCAAGGACAAGGGGGCTTAGGTAATGCAGTTCTTAAGAGGTCAGTCTCCTGGGGTTCAGAACAGGCTCAAGAAGAGTTGGGGATGGATTGGGTGGTGGGGGTGTATTGAAAGAGTCACTAGCACAGCAGATGATTTATTGTCCCTTTCTGGTTACTTCCCTGGGTTAATTTTTTTTTTAAGTTTTTATTTATTTATTAGAGAGAGAGAGCACGAGCACAAGCCAGGGGGAGAGGCAGAGGGAGATCAGACTCCCCGCCGAGCAGGGAGCCTGATGTGGTGCTCAATCCCAGGACCCTGGGATCATGACCTGAGCCAAAGGCAGATGCATAACCGGCTGAGCCACTCAGGCGCCCCTGGGTTCATCTTTATGCCTACTCCTCTGACCTGTTTTAATGAATTCATCCATCCATCCATCTATCCATCCTTCTATCCTAAGCACTTAATGTGTAAAGGTCTTTGTTAGCCCCAGGGAAGATAGAGAAATAAAAGTGCTTGTCCTGAAGGAATTCACAGTTTATGCTTGATATTTTCAGCCCTGCCTCGGCACTCAGATCTGGTGTTCCTGTCAGTTTCTGTCCTCCATCATTATTCTCAGAAAATAGTAGACCCCTGCCAATAAGCATTTTGAAGAGCACTATATCAATGAAGGTTCTTTGATTTACAAGTGACAGAAGACCTAACTCAGATTGGCTTAAGCAAAAAACAGAAACAAACAAAAAATGGAGTTTATTGGGTCATGGAACTGAAAGGCCCTAGGGTATTCTAGCTTCAGGCTTTGATTCAGAGAACTGATTGCTCTCCTCCCAGATAGCCTCAGGTTCCATGAGGTGGGGGGACAGCTGCTCTTTCCAGCAGAAAAAATACAGAATCTTTCTCCTCCCAGACTCAGCAAAAGTCTCCCTGCATCTTTGAATTGTTCCAAGATGGGACTGTGACCTATCATGAAAGCCAGGACACTGTGACACTCCAAAGGGCAAGAATGAGTCATATGCTCACCCTGGAGTGTGTGTGTGTTGGGGGGGGGGGGTTGCTCAGTGCCATTGGAAGCCCACATACTAAGATGGAGGAGGTAGATGCTAGCTGTTAAAAAAAAAACGGGAGGGGGTATTAAAGGCAGAGTAGAATGTACCTGAACCTGCTATGGTTATTTAAATCTCTTTATTTAATTAAATTAAATAACCTGCTATGGTTATTTAAATCTCTTAAATCGAAGCCTGAACCAGACCAGAGATACTTAGGATTTTCAGATTTTTAGTTTTGTCTCCTAAATGCACCTGCCTATTCATGCCTCTCTTCCTCACCCTTACCTTCTCTCTTTTAATCAGAAACTAGAACACAAAAGACCACCCCACTCTACACAAAAGATACTTTAATGTAGTATCTTTAAAAGAAAAAAAAAAGAAAGCTTTAAGTGTACCATTTGTATAGATTCAGCTTATAGTAAGAAATCAGAAGATACAGGGTTCATTCAGTAATCGACTGTTGTTTTTCAGGCTCTTTGATGTAGAAATCTAATTGTTTCACTCACAATTTGGCATTAAAGGATCCCATAATTTGGTCCCATTAGTCATGCACTTTTATCCTGGTGTTGTATGGACTTCAGAGTCAGACAGAAATCCCAGATCACACATTTATTTTAATTGTTTTAGATTCTTATTTATTAGAGAGAGAGTGCGCACGAGCATGAGGGGAGAGGGGCAGAGGGACAGGGAGAAGCAGACTCCCCGCTGAACCCAACGCTGAGCAGGGAGCCCAACGCGGGGCTGGATCCCAGGACCCTTGAGATCCTGACCTGAGCCGAAGGCAGACGCTTAACCGACTGAGTTACCCAGGCGCCCCTCCAGCTCACACATTTAAAGAGCCGTAGGCACTTGGTCAAATCAGTCATCTGTGTGTGCGTTAATTTCTTCATTGGAAAATAGTAGTATCATCAGCTGCCAGGTGCTCTGCTAAATATTCTTTCTCTCATAGATTTCCTATCTGTGTCTGTCTGCCTACTTACCTACCTACCTCTCTGTCTCCTCTATGCAAGGATGTGAGACAACCCTGTGAAGGGTGGGTGACCCCTATTTTACACACGAGGCTACAGGCTGAGGGAAAGGAGGAACCAGCTCACGTGGAGACCGTGGTGTTGGCGGAGCTGGGATTTGAAACCGGGCCTGTCAGATTCCCAAGCCTGCGCACTCAGCTCTCGTACCAAACCGTCTCGGTCCCCTGCCTCAGCAGAAGGAGCTGTGCAGAGACTGAGATGGCGCGGGGCACGTGCGGAGCCCAGCGCGGGGCAGTGCCCCGGCTCGCGGGCGGACAGGTGGGCAGACAGGTGGGCAGACAGGTGGGCAGACACCCGGAGCGCGGCTGGGGGACGCATGCGCACGCGGTTCTCCGGCGCGCCGGGAGCCAGCGCACGTTGAGTCCTGTCCGCGCTCACAGCGTTGGGGACTTAGGCATGCCACTTACCTCTCTGGAGTCTCCATTTCTTCATTTGCAAAAAGGGGGTGACAGTCTGGATGGCAGAACTGTTGTGGAGGTTAAATGAGACCCCGTGTGTAGATTCCATTCTCCCTTTCCACCCCCACCTCCCATCCCCATCTCTGCGCTCTGCGGGAGGCATCCACAGGCTGGGAAAGAGTTTGAGGGTATAGAAACTGTATTAAATTCTAGCTGCTTCATCTGCCAGTGTATGATGGTTCCATGGTCCACAGTCTCTCTGAGTTTTGTTTCTTTTATTTGTGAAGTGGATCTTCAAATGCCTGCTCCATAGGGTAGGAAATACGAGATAATGTATGTAATGTGCTCCACACCTCCTTTCCTTACCTATAATGCTTCTACCCCTTCTTCGAGGCCCATCTAAAATTAAAAGAATCAAAATCAGAACCCCACCTTCTCTGTGAGGTCTTTCTTAATGCCTGCAGCCCCAGGCGACACCATTCTTGCAAATGCTTGTTGTATTTATCCCTGTACCAGCTCCTGTATCCATTATATTTACCAAATACAATTCCAGAGACAAGGGAAGCACCCCGTAAGTAAAATAACAGTACTAGTTTTTGTTTTTTAATCAAATAATAGAAATGTTAAAACAAGAATAGAATTTATTAGATAAGCTAAAACGTCAGGGATTTAAGGCTTCTTGGTAAAAGCTCCCTTGTAGGGGAAATATTATAGTGGGGGAAAATTCGTTTTTCCTTTTTTAAAGTTGGGAAACAATTTCCTGACAACTCTTGAAATAACCAGGAGTACCTGGGGAAGTGACTAAACCCAAATTAAGAATCTCGAATCCAGAGAAAGCATTGCACATATTCTGAGCCTGGATATTTTTAGTTCTGGTTGTGTAATAAACCCCACTAATGGATTTATTTATATATAATTCTGTATTTCCTTTTTTATATTTTAGATGGAGCAGATTAAAAGGGCAAATAAACTGTTTACCAGTGACTGTATATTTCTGAAGAAAACTTTGAACATCCCAGTTATATCAGAGAAGGCTCTGTTGTTTAATGGACTTAACTCAATAGATTCTTCAGAAAATGAAACTGTTGGTAGCAGTTTTTCTCATGAAGAAGAGCCGGTAGCAGCTGGGGAAGACCTTTCTCCTCCCAGTCCTCAAGAATCCAATGTTCAGCCCATACAGCCTGAAGAAGTGTCAGCTAGAGATTTCCTGCAGAGACTAGACTTGCAGATTAAGTTGTCAACGCAGGCAGCCAAGAAACTAAAAGAAGAGAGCAGGTAAAAATATGCTGGTATAATGTCAGAGGCTGAATAAATTACTCTTATGATGTCCTTGCTTGGCTAAGGTTTTGTTGTGTTTTGTTTTCTCCTTTGCTCTTCCCTTTCCTATTTTTTCCTTTTCCTTTAAAAACTCTATTTTAATTCTAGAAAGTCATTTTCAATATATGAAGCGTAAAAAGAGCTCCTGCATTCTGCATAGGGCTTTACCTGTTGTCTCTGTTATTTATTATAAAAAGTTTCTTTGGTTTAGTAGTGTAACTGTCCAGCGAGCAATTCTGGATAGCAGGCAAGCAGAAACGTCTCGTTTATCCCGTCAGAGGAAGGACTGCGCTGGGGAATCCTTGTGATCCTAATGCAATTTGTCAAAGACAGTGTCCGTTATTTGTTACTGGGTGTTTTTCATGTGAGCTTTTTTCTCTGCTCTTTAATTTGATACTAGGGCAAATCTTTTTCTCTCCTACAGAATTGATTTTCTTTTTCCTTTATGAATCCAAGAATGGCACAAGCTATTGGTTTCCTTTTTTGCCCTGGCTACCGGGAAGCTAGCAACTAAAACTGATGTTCAGTTCAACTACTACAGTATTTTTTATGGTTAATGTATTCATACTGTTCTCCTTTCCTTAGTCCTGATTTTTTATTTCTATCTAATTCATCTTATTATATTTATGCTTTTTGTTGTAGGCACATCAAGTCCTTTCGAGGAAAAGGTAGAATATAAAAAATAAAAACAAATACGAATATAATCATTTTATAATTCAATGTTTTATTTAAATGTAATAGAAAAATGTAAATATATAAGAATATATATATTCTTTTTTTACAAGTACCCTTCTTTATTCCAATAATTGAGTTGCCAATAAAATGCAGATAATAAGGTACACCCTAATGAGTATTTGCATTTCATACAACTTCCAGGACATGCAAAATATTATAAATTGATATACTCCTGCCCTTCTTTGGCAAGTGGATATTAAGGTATATAATAAGTATACATATTAGTTTTCTGAAGTGTTTTTAAACACTGATTTATGCTGAATTTCTTTTTTTCAGAGATGAAGAAAGCCCCTATGCAACTTCCCTCTATCACAGTTAGATAATCAGGGGTGATAATCTAACCTGGATTAAGAGATGGTTGAATCATAAAGAAACCAACAACTGAAGATTCAAAAGCATACATCGTTAAATCACAATTTAGTAGTTCTACCTACTGCAATTGCACTGAAGTGATTATTTCCCTCTGGCTTTCTATAATTTTAGGTCTTTATTATGGCATGAGAGCAAAATTGTATCCTAAAGCCCATCACTTTTGTAGGTGATGGTAGTTTTTAGACTAGTTTTGTAAATACTAGTTAACATAAAGCATCAAAGACTATATACATATTCAAGCTGAAAATGATGTTGATCTTCTGAGAAATCATAATTATGTGAAATACATGGTTGCTGTTTAAGTGATACTGATTTTGCTATGTGTTTATAACTTAAGTGCTATATATATATATTTCGATATGTATTACATATTCTGTATTAATATAAAGAACCAAATTTTGTCTGCTATTTTGTAAAAATAAACTACAAAAGCCTGAATGAGAAAATAAACTATGTTTTCATATTTGAGTCTTCAATTTTTTCAACAAATGGAAAAATAAAGTTGATTTTTAAATTACTTTTTAAATGGTGATAGCTTCTCCTCCATTTTAATTGCTTTTATTATTATAATTGGAATTTTGAAAAAGTTTCAATAATCTAAAAGCAAATCATTATGGGTATTAGTAACCTTTGCATTTTCATAATATTTGACCTGATATGTTTGAGATATGGTATGAACATAGAATATGATCAGAAGGAGAAATTATGACACACTGGTGAATTCTAGTTTAGATTTCATTAAGTCACTTTATAAAGAGCGCTTCGTAGGCACTGTGCTCATTTGAATTGAGGGTTAAGTTTTTATTTACATAATTTGTCTTTTTTCATATGTACAGGTTACAGACATAAATGTTAAGCAAAATATTATTTACAGTTAAACTTTTTTTGGTCTCAGTTTTTATTCAAGTACCAGGTTAAAGAAATCTTTAAGCTTCCACAAAAATTCCCCATATTTATCCCTCCCCTACACCCCCAAGGAATCTGCTTTCCGTGGGGCAAACAGGACTCTCCCCTCATTTTCTCTTCCCCATCTCCCTCCTTCAGGTCTTCCATTAAGCAGGAAACAGGTGCCCTTAGACATCAATGCAGCAGAGCTTATAGAATCGGAACTGCACATCTCCAGCCCTTGAGAGTGACCAACAGGTGCATGCATGGGAAACACTAGTCATCTGCCCTTGTCTTGAATTTCTTGTTTATTCGTAACATACATACTCCCTGATGTGTTGGTTTTTTTCTCATGCTGTTACCGTCTCTGATATAGGGTGGTCTCTTGATCATGCTTTGCTGCTACCTGACTCGGGATTTAGTTGGAAGAGGAGAAAACAAAAAGAAAACAAAAAAGGAAGGGAAACCGTTGCGTATATAAGACAAGGTCTAGGCCTCTCTGGAGGCACAGGAACTTTCAAAGAATGTAAAGTTATCATGCTGTTTAACATCATCTGAAATTTGAGAGTAATCCAAAAGACATAAATCCAAAAATGCTATCCAAAAGATGTAATATAAGCAGAAATGTAAAATTCAGACCACAATCTTAAAAATATTCTTCTATTTCTTTGTTGCCTAAGGTCTACTCTTAGCACTTTCTGGCCAAGCCATCTCTGTCCTTCACGTTATTAAAAACTCTGGATTTGTTGTGGCCACAGTTGAACTGTTTTGGACCAGAGTACTTTAGTACTGCCTCGGAGGAGTGGACTGAGCCACAAGAAACCGGGTCCGAGGCCCACTTTTAACCACTTCTTGGCCATCCGAGTTTGAGCACACTCTGTGCCCTTCTTCTTGTGAACCAGTTTACTCATTTCTAAAACAGGGCCGATGATCTCCCTTTTCTTTTTTCTTGGCTACTGCTGGGAGCTAATGAATATCTGTGTGTCAGAAAACTACAATAAACTCCCTAAATAAATGTCTTATTTAAAAATAGACTGCATAGGTATCTAGATATATTATAGAAAAGTGAATGGATAAAATGCTTTAATTGCAGTGAGACTTTTTTTTCCCCTGATGTACAAGCAGCCTGTTTGGACTGTAGGACTTGGGTGAAGGAGTAGGTCGTGTTATCAAAGATGACATTAAAATGATCTGACTCACTGTGTTTGGCAAGGATAATTTGGGCATAGGTGTTTTTAGTTCCCTCTTACTGCTCACCAGGGAGTACTGGCTTTTCTAGAACATACTGAGTTTAGTTTGTGTGGGTGTCAGGCTTTGCGTTTTGTTTATTTTTACAACTCTAGAGAGGATGGGGAGGAGCAGCAGTGGTTTCCTCCCTGTGAAAAATAACCTCTTAACGTTGTCCCTATACGTTCCCCAGCCCTCACCAAAAAGTAGATACCAAGTAGGAGCATTCAAGACAAGTATCAGAAGGCCGTTTGAAGTCATGACAGCTAATACACAAAGCATTATATTATTTTTAAGATTTCCAGCTGAAATAGATAGAAAAATATGTTATCACTTTATGCTGAATAATGCATTTTCAAAGCATTCTTTGGTTTGGGAGCATTGCCCATTACCATTTCAGGAGGACCTTGGGCCACTGTGTGTTGCTTCCAGGGCTGTGTTTGCGATGGCAGCTGAGGAAGAGGAGTTGCAGAGACCCTAAGTTCATTAACCTTTTCTTCCAGGAAAGCTCGTTCACCAGCTTTGGTCCACAAAGAAGGGAATGACTGTTTTCTCTATTTCTGCACTACTGCTTGGCCCTCTTGCTCTCTGTTGAGAATACCTTGGTCTGGATTAAATTCAGTTTAGATAACTCAGGTCTGGCAGGCATTTTTACTTTGCTTCTGTAGTGTTTATGACCTCATTTTTCTCCTTGGAGAGCACATAGTTATTCCTACTAATAAACAAACTCAGTGTCTGGAAATGTCAAATGTTGGGAGAAATTGTTGATGAATCCAGCAAATCCTATGCTTATCTTTCAGGTTCCTTTTTGTACCACTGGGCCTGATAAAGAGCCAGCAGGAACAGCCAAAAAAGCAGAGAGTTATCCTTTAAGCTAGAGAGGCTTTGAAGAAATGTAAATTTATTTTAACTCCCCAAAGGGAACTGGTAGTGAAAACAACATCTTGTAACAGACATATTCTATGAGGTGCTTTGGTACCCAGCATGCCTTGAAAACAGAAGCCCCTAATTCTTCAGGTGGGTGCTTGTGGGTGTGACACGGAGGGAAGAAGCTTCAATTTTAAGTTCTATCCATGACAGGCTTTCCAAAGCAACATATCTCTGATTATAAAATGTAAATCTAAAAGGAAATAAGGATTCTATATGCAAAATCGCAGCTTACATACAACTTTACTTTTCAGACAGTTTTTATGGCAAGAAAGCTATGTTTAACCACTTCTAAAAGGTTAACTACTGCAATTTCATCACTTTCTAATAATCCTTGGGTCAAATAACTTTAATGACAGAATTAGAAGTGTTTTAAGCTATGTTTACTGAAACAGTCTAAAGACTCCTGGATCTTCTGCCATTTTTACAGACTGCTGTAGATACGCTTGATGGCATCAGCTTCTTCTTTATCAAGGATGCCTTTCTCCACATAAGCATCCGCTTGTTGGTTGATGAAGTCCCTCATCTTTGAAAGGTCATAATCTAGAAAAGATCGTTAGCGTATCATGAGCAACAATCAGGAAAGAGACGTCCCATTACAGTGACGACCATTAACTAAGAAGCTTTTAATGCAACAACACAAATACCATTCCATCCCCGTTTTTCACATCGGAAAACATATTAGATCTTGGCATTTGTTCAGTCTTTAGAGTTTAAAATCATGTTTATGTGTGTGATATTATCTCATTTGCTGTCCATCATCACCCCTGCAAGGTGTTCAAGTGGGGAGTACCACCCTCATTTGACCATGGGAGGGACAGGCTCATAGACCAGGGCTTTGCAAACTTAATGTTTATACCAATCACCAGGGGCTCTTGCAGGTTTGTTTTCAGTAGGTCTGAGGTGGAGCTCCAGATTCGGCATGTTAAATAAGTTTCCAGGAGATGTTGATTCTGCTGGTCCGGGAATCACATTAGGATAACAAGATCCTAAAGCTTAAGTACCTTGTTCAGGATCATATGGATAGTAAGAGTTACAAACAGAACCAGGTGTTTTGGTTTTCTGCAATTGTTATACAGGTTAAGTCACTGTTGATGTGACAGCCCACTCTTTTTTTCCAAATTAAGAATGACCATGATTTTTCATAGTATCTGAATTATATGCACAGAGCAAAAAAAATTATATGCATGGAGCTTTTTTTTTTTTTTAGAGAAACCTCTTTATGGCTCTTCTGTCCTACTTAAACAAAAAACCTGTGTAAACCATCAAACCACCCATCAAAAACAGATAACCAAGTAAGGATGCTGCCTGTGGCATTTTTCTGAAGGCTTAAAGAAAACCCACATCCTCCCTTGATGCTTATTGTTTTAAAAAATAGAAAATACAGAAACATGGAAATAAAATTTAAATCACCTGAATTCTAGTAATCATAAATAACCACAGTTGGTTTTTTATTCTACTTTTTTCACTTTCCAAATATATGTCTCTCAACCCAGGATTGAGATCACAGTATATATACAACCTTATTAACAAGCTCCTTTCACTTTACCCAGTGAGCATCAATATTCTTCAGAAACGCCGCTTTTAATGGCTACATACAATGCATCCTACGGTGGTACCAAAATTTATGACTCACATCTCACAGGGTGGGACATGTGGGTCTTCTGTACCCCAGCATACTTGGGGAGACGCCCCCCCAGATTTTGAGTTGCCTGAGGCTGAGTTCCTTGAGGACAGTGCCGTTCACCTTGGCTACAGCAGCCTCTGGAACAGAGCCTTGCCTTCTGTCAGTTTGCAAAGGAGAAAAAAAGGGAGAGAGTGGGGAACAAAAGCTCAGAGCACCCATGAAAGGAAAACTATAAAGAACATCGCTGTAGGCGCCAGGTGTTTATTGTATCAAGTGAGCCGAGGCTTAGAGAAAACCCGTTTCTTCTCCACGAAGAAAGGCATTTGTTCTCACTAGGGCTTGGCCGTGAAGATTAAAGAGACAACTGTCAGCTCTGGGCACTTTACAACTGTCATCTGACTTGCTTGTCGCGGAACTCCATGAGGTAAGCATTAGTAACCCCATCTCAGAGACGAAGAAACAGGACAGAGGTAAGTCACTCGCTTGGGTAAGGGCAGAGTCAGGTTCTGAACGCTGGTCTGTCTGTAGTCTCTGCTTTGGCCATCTACGGCCTTGAAGTGGGGAACATGAAGCAACTAACAGGTGTAGAACCAATATTCAGGAAGCGCTTGGGGTTTTTGTTATTGTTGTTCCCTTTCATTTTCCCTTACTGTCAGGACAAAACAGAGTCGTGCCGAACATACATTTTGCGCGCACCTCACCAGCAGATTCCTGACTGACTCGGAGGGCACAAAGAGGCGCCTCTTGATGATCGCTGGTTCAGATTAATACTGGCTCTCCCGAGCTGGTTGCAGGGTCAACGTCTTTAGTGGGATGAAAGGCAGCCCAAAGGCAGATGTGAAGAGGTCCGGGGGATTTGAATGGACACACAGGAAAATACTTTGCTTTCTTTTGAAATGGAAAAACTCTATCTTAAAACATAGCTGTCACTGTGTGCCCTGGGAAAATGAGCATGGTGCAGAAGAAAGGCCATTGGCTGCCTGTTAGATCACACAAGTCAGGAGCCACCTTGCTAACCTTAAGAAGGTTTTAAGGTTGTTATGCTCAAAAGAGAAAAGGGCTGTGATTCACCTTTTAAAAAGTACAGACTTTATTTTTAAGGGTGCATAAAGTTTTTTCTTCCTCCTCAGTATCACATCACACGGACCTCCCTTTTCTGGAAGTGGAAAATTAAATTGTAGGATGTGGTTGGTTATGACCAGGAGTCTGATTCATGTTAATCAGGAAAAGAAAGAACATAAGTACTCCGAATTGTTGGACCATAAAATTAACATTGGTTTCAGAATGCATTCTGGTGCCTACTGTATTACATTGATTCTAAGATCAACATTTTTTTTTATTTTAAAGTCTTCACAGTCACTGATGGCACGTTATAATTTTTCTTCCTTAGTGGTGTATGAAATAATGGTGCCTTTTTCAATCAATGACAGATTTGATGAAATATGGTTCATGTGAATTTGAATGGAACGGACAACCTGGAAATTCACATCATTTTGAACCAAATAAAATAAAATATGTGCAAAGAGCTGATAATTGTTTCCATCTCACTCAATTTAACAAGATCACAGGTTAAAGAGGGGCTAAAAATACCTCTTTCTCCCATTGTGCTCTCAGTGATTCTCAAACTTGGCTACACAGTGGAATCATGGGCGAGGGGGGTTAAAAATACTGATGACTGTGTCATTCCTCTTGAGTGTCTGACTTAGCGGTCCTGAGAAGCGACCTGGGCATCGAGAGCCTGAGGAGCTCCACAGGTGATCTGAATGCATGTTCAAGTTTGAAAACACCGCTCATCTCATTTTAAAAGCATCACTTGGCAACTGCTCAGCCAGACGCCTGGGAGTCATAGTGGACTCCTCTGTCTCCACGTTGCTCTCAAGCTTCTCCCTTCTTTATTTCCTCTGCCTTACCTTGGTTTAAGCTCCGTCATTTCTGCTCCAGATCCTTGCCTCCCATCTCTGTCCAATCCTCTGGGGTCTTATTTCTCCCGTCTGTAACCGCACTGCTGCCAGATCGATTTCTCAGTTCCTAACCTAATTAAGCCCTAATTTAGGCTCTTCTGGCTAAATCTTACCTCCTTTGCAGAGTGCACAAGCTCCTTCCTGATCTGGCTGCTACCCACCTCCCCGCGGACACCCAGTGTTCCTGGGAAACTGAGTGGCTCCAGTTCCCAGAACGCATGAGTCTCTTTTGTCCCTTTATGTCTTGGCACCCCGTGTTCCCCTGTCCCCATCTCTCATCACTTAGCTTTCCAGCAAAGGCTTTCCTGCAGACCTTTCTCCCAGTGCTACCCCTCCCTGTAAAGAGATGGGCTCCCCTCCTTTGCACCGCTTCACCTGTCTGTGATAGCCCTGAGCAGGGCCAACTGTAGCTTGAGTGATGCTGGCAGCTTCCTTGGGGGGCCAGGGAGGGCAGGGGGAGGCTGCAGCTTCCATTTTCACATCTATGGTACTCAGAACAGAACAGTCTTGTTCTGTTTTGTTTTAAGTGAGTGACAGCTTTTGTGACCGCAGGGTACATCTAATATGTGGTCAAAAATGCCTTTGTTTAAAATACTCCAAGGAGGGGCACCTGGGTGGCTCAGTCAGTTAAGTGTTTGGCTCTTGATTTCGGCTCAGGTCATGATCTCAGAGTCATGAGATCGAGCTCCGTGTTGGGCTCCATGCTGCTCGGATTCTCTTAGGATTCTGCTTAGGATTCTCTCTCTCCCTCTCTTTCTGCCCCTCCCTTGCCTCCCCACCCTCTCAAAAAAATAAGTAAAAATTAAAAATTTTTTTTAAAATTCTCCAAGGAAAGGGCAAAATGTTGATAATTATTGGAGGTGGTCGACGGATACATGGGGATTCATTATACTATCCTCTCTACTTTTGTTTGACATTTTTCATAATGAAATGTCAAAGAAAATGTCAAAGAAAAGGCCTTTGCTTGAGAGGCTGCTTTGAAAAATAAGAGAAATGGAGATTCTACTCCTGCATCGGCATTCCTTCATCCTGGAGTCTTTTTGGACAAGTTTGATTGTGAGAAACTTCATTTAACAAGAACCCTGACAGGGCGCCTGGGTGGCTCAGTTGGTTAAGCGACTGCCTTCGGCTCAGGTCATGATCCTGGAGTCCCTGGATTGAGTCCCGCATCAGGCTCCCTGCTCGGCAGGGAGCCTGCTTCTGCCTCTGACCCTCCCTCCTCTCATGTGCTCTCTCTCTCTCATTCTCTCTGTCTCAAATAAATAAATAAATAAAATCTTAAAAAAAAAAATTTTAAACAAGAACCCTGACAAATGGGTGAAATTGGCAATTTACAACCATACTAAATCTTTACCTTCTTTATTTCCTTTTTTGTTGTGTTTCTTCAACCATTCAATATTTTTTCTGATGGCTTCCAAGTAGGCTTCTGTTTTTCCTGGAAAAGGGAAGAGAACCCATATCAAACACTCATAAAATATCACTGCATTTCTTTTTAAAGACCACACTCTTGTTTAGAACCATAAACACTGGACTCGCCGAGCACTTGTGAGGTGGTGTCCCTAATGAAGTAGTGTGCATATTTGTGTGCATGGTGTGTGGGGGGTGTTGAGGAGAATGGGTAGGGATAAGATTCCAGGAGATAGGACCAGGGTAATGTCAAGGAGTCATTACATACATACACACACACACACACACACACACACACACACAACTGCAGTCTGTTGTCCTGGCAGAGAAGAGTTTTGATCCAGTTCACTGGATAGCTGGGTGCCTTCAATTCTTAGACTGCATCCTTTCTGTTTAGGAATGGTTCTTCCAAACTGAGGAGTATTCTCAGGTCAAGAGCTAAATCGGAGTGGCAGATACTGAAAAGACTTCATCACCAAATAAATGATGTTAAGTACGTCCAAATGTGTGGCTTTGTGTAGGCTGCTGTGCAAGTCTTCTGCCCAATCTGGTAGGGAGTGTGTAAAAACTCAGATGAAGAGTGACCCAGGCCTCATTTCAAGGTTTAGATGTGAACCTTAGAACTCATTCTAGTACAGCTCCCCCGGATGTAAACATTCTCCCATGGGCCTCAGGTGTGGTGAGAGGAAACTAGGCATCACTGGAGCCCCTGCTTCGTGATACCCTTTATATACATTGTGGTCTGCAAGTGGGTATTAGCACCCGCTTAGAGATGAGAAAACTAAGGCTCAGAGAGGCTAAGTGACTTGGCTGAGACCACGTAGGAAATAACTGAAGTAGAATTTAGACTCTGGTCTTACCAAGTTTCTGCTGCCTATACTATCCGAAAGAAAGGATCTTTTTCAGACATGGACACTGATGTAGCCTTGTTCTGTCTCGAAGAAATCAACCACACCTGCAGCCAGATGAAGCCCCTAGTGCTCAGAGTGTCTGCACCAAGGGACCGGGTGGTCTGGAGAATCCTGGATGGCCTGAGAAAAGAAGCCTTCCAAGTCCAGGGGCTCTGCAAGAAGTAATGGTTGCCGAAGCTCAATGGTGCCACCCATTCTGAGCCCCTGTTGAGCCCTGTTACCTCTAGTGTACTGCCCAGACTTCCTGGTTGAGTTACCTGTGCTTGCGCTTAGGATGTGCCAAGGGCTGCGCTTTGGGCTCCAAAATGTACTATCTCTTTTACTATTCACAACAACCTCTTCAGGTGCTCCCATTTCATCCCCATTTTACAGATGAAGAAACCGAGGCATAGAGAGACAAAGTAACGTGCTGAAGATCATATGGCTAGTAAGTTGTGGAGCCGGGCTTGAACTCCAGTGCTTCTGACTACAGTCCATGAACAATAACACTGCCCTAGGATCTGCTGATGCTCCAGCTTCCACTACTGCATTTACCTAAGTGACCTCCTGAGCATCTTTCTTCCTGATCTTGTAAGCCCAAACTCTTGCCTCACCACCGGGGCTCCATGATATCTGGACCCCAAAGAAGCACAGGAAAGCTCCCTGCAAAAGGGGTGAGTGGACAAGAGAAGAGATCCACAATTTTCAGCCCCAATTCACTGCAATTACCTGTGTAGAAAAAGTCTTTGTTCCAGTGCTTTGTTTTTAAGAATGTTGGAGCATATGAAAGATCAAGTCCTCCTGGTTGACATTATAACATATTACAGTACAATGAACATAGTGATATTCATTGTCTGTTGCCTGTTTGTTGAGAAGGTCAGTTGGAGTTGGTGACATAAAATCGGTGTTCTCTATTTCAGATAAACTCAGAAAAGTCATTTTGAACAAAGAAAGAAATCTTAGTGTAGACTATTTCTGAAGAATGCAGCCTCTTTATTTTTAAAGAGTTTAAATCAAATTAGTGGGCCTCATAGGGCTTTAACAAATAGAGAATTTGTCATCAGCACATTAAATAATTAGGACTTCGGAAACTTTTAAGAATGTTTGAAAATGGTCTTGCTCTTTAAATCATGTTAAGCATTCATCCCACAATCTCATTTATAATATATCATAATATGGAAGGCTTATTTAAGAAAAAGAAAACCTGAACTTAGTCTCTGTGTAAATACTGTGTTAAAAATTCTGAATTAGGAGGGGTGCCTGGTGGCTCAGTTGGTTAAGCATCCAACTCTTGGTTTCAGCTCAGGTCATGATGTCAGGGTCATGAGATTAAGCCTCGTGTTGGGCTCTGCGCTTGGCAGGGAGTCTGCTTGAGATTCTTTCCCCCTCCCACTCTCTCCCTCTCATGTGTTCTCTGTCTCCCTTTAAAAATAAAATAAATAAATAAAATCTTTAAAAAAAGCATGTCCTTGTTTTTGAAAAAAATCTGAATTAGGAGAGTAAAGAATAAATATGGGCTTTTTGCCATAGTGTAGCAAAAACTGTTGCTTCCCCATCCTCATGTCTCCCTTATTCCAGATATGCTAATAGAGGGGGCCCTCACCTAATGATGGACAGAACTGGTAGGTAAATACCCAGTTTCCTTTTGTTTCAGGAACATTCCACACAGCCTCCCAGAGATCCTCAGTGGGACTGAGCCCCAGTTACCCACAACTGAAGCCATCTTGTGAACCCACCTTATATGGGCTTCTTTCCTCTCCCTGTTTCATGTACCTATCCCCCCACAGTGGTATTTCCTGGGGTCATCACTCCATTAAACTTGACCTCAAATCCCTCTCTTAGGGTCTGCTTCAGAAGGAACCTAACCTAAGGCAATTTGAAATAGAGGGCTTGGCATCATCTTGTTAGATGCTTTTTGCTCAGGAACCAATTTCCTATAAAAATGTTAAATATTAAAAAGTATGAAATGCTTGAAAGTAATTTTATTCACTATATTGATATTCCCAACCCATAAGAGAGAATGAGTTTACTGCAGTTTACAGGAATCTATACTGCAATCCATTAAAAAACTAAACTACTATCTTGTGGATCATAACAACATATGATTAGGACAGTTTCTCTAGTTTATTTATTATTTTTAAAGATTTATTTATTTGAGAGAGAGGGAGAGAGTGAGGGCAGCGGGGGGGCGGGCAGAGGGAGATGGGAGAGAGAGTGAATCCTAAAGCAGACTCTGCGATGAGTGAGGAGCCCAGCGCAGGGCTCGATCCCACAACCCTGAGATCATGACCTGAGCCCAAACCAAGAGTCAGACGCTCGACTGACTGTGCCACCCAGGTGCCCCGATAGTTTCTCTAATTTAAAATAGACCACCCCCATAACCCTCATCCCTCTCTTCTGCTTTATTTTTATGCATAACACTTACCACTTTCTACCAAATCATATAATTTATGTAAGTTTATTTTTTGTCTTCCTCCCTTAGAAATAGTTTTTTGCTGATAAGGACTGACACATAGTAGTCTATCAATATCTGTCAGATAAGTGAATGGATAAAGGCTTCTTAGATGCCAAATTGTAATCAGAAGAATATAATTTTTTTAAAGTATAAATGGTATAGATTTCTTTTTTTAACAAAAAAATGAATTGTCAATTTGAAAGACTTGAAGTTTAATGAATTCTGAATTGAAATGATAGTTATAGCAGAAACAATTTAAAATACCTACAAATGTGCTAGACATACTATATCCATGTCATTTAATCTTCACGGAGCTCTATGAAATCAGCATTATCATTCCCATTTTACACATGAGGGAACTAATGCTCAGAGAGGTTAAGTGACATGCCCAAGGGGACACAGCTGAGTAAGGGTGAGAGCCTGGTCCTGAACTAGAATGAATCCAGAGCTTCTACTGAGTGTAGCTTGGGTAAAGTTCACTTTTTAGACTAGAACAATTTAGTGCCTGTTGTTGTTGTTGTTACCAAACTAGCCAACAAGGCAGTGGTTCTCAAACTTGGCTGCATACTGGAATTCACAAGATGATGCCAAGTCCTCTATTTCAAATTAAAAAATCCTGATGTCAAGGTTACTCCTCATACCAATTAAATGAGACTATCTGAGGGTAGGGGCCAAGCATCATTTAAAAAAAATGGTCCTGAGGTGATTCCCATGTGGGGCTGAGTTTGGGAACGACTGCCACCAGCATTGAGACCTCAGCACATTTACTGGAGCACTGGTTGACAAGGTGAATAAAATCAGGTGTCCCTCTGCTCTTGGAGAGGAGCAGCTGGTTCCTATTTACATTTTCTCTTCTGGGGAGCTGTAAAGCAAATCTTTTATTTACACAGTGTGCAGTAAAAGCCCATGAGAGTCCACTTTGGAAAGCTGGACTATTTTTTTCAAATTTATTTCAGTTTTCTTTGGAAAAAAATAGCTCATGGCTGAGGTAATATGGCACAACCTTTAAACCATATGCTGAAGCAGATGGGAAGAGGGCCAGAATCAAGACGCAGCCCTGCTTTTCTGACTGTTCTGGTTTTCAGCACTGCAAAAGAAATACCCCTTTTTATACGTGAATTTGTCCTGACTGTGACATATGCTAACTTGATCTGTCCCCCAAGACCAGTAGAAACAACAACAACAAACCTGTAGAAATCAACAGAATTAACCTACTGAATACGGACATACTAAAGGTATTAGATCTTAAGAGTGTTTATAAAAATTAAGTTTGACACCCTTAAAATTCTGTGAAGATGACATGATTACAGTTTTGAACGGCATAAAACAAAGTCAGTGATGATGATATCACTGATGCCAACATGGGCCTCAGAGCCATTCAGTTCAAGAATTTCTGTACAATGCTGACATTTTATCTGCCTAAAAGAAATGCTCAGAGGAGTACTGGATGGGAGTCAAGGGACAAGGGTTCAAGGCCTGGCTCTCACTCTGGGTAGAAGATCTTGGGTGAGTCACTTCATTCTCTGAGCCTTGGTTTATTTATTTATAATTTAGGGATGAATTCTAAGAAGATTTATGGTTTCCGCATATGGAAAGACATTGTCCTTTGCTATCCTCGAAAAACCTGTGTTGATGGGAGGTCTCCTGTGCCTGCACTTAGCTCCTGGCATACTTGCTGACTCA